CCGAGCGAGCGGAAGCCCTTCTCGGCGAAGGTCTGCGAGGTCTGCCGGTACTCGTTCACGGTCTGCATGTCGAACTTCTTCAGCTTCAGGATGCTGTACCGGGGAATACATGTTAGCGCAATGTTATCGCAGAATAGATAGAACGCACGCGTTAGGCGCGCCCTTGCACGCGGTGTACTTCTTCCCGTCCTTTTCCACTTGCGCTTCGATGCGCTTCGACACGGGGTCGAACGGCGTGAACTTGGTCGTTTTCCACCCGCTGCGGAGGTTCTCCTGCGCCCCTGGGAAGTCTTTCAGCCCGATGATGGTGACCTTATCAATCGGGTCGAGCGAGCGGATGTTGTGCGAAGACGCGAGCACCGCGACCGTCATGAACCAGTCGCGATCCACGCCTGGTTTCAAAAGATTTAGGGATCTAAAATAAAACGAAGGAAGGAAGGAGTACCTGGGGAGACGTACGGCTCGTTGAGCGAGAGCTTGTTCGCGGTGAGCGTACCCGTCTTGTCGGAGCACAGCATGTCGACGCCCGCGAGCGACTCGATGGCCGTTAGCTTCTGCACGATACATTTCCGGCTGCGCGATGGTTTATTCAATACAGAGGAAACATCGGGCAGGGAAGGGGAAGACGTACCGGGCGAGGTAGGCTGCGCCGACGGCCTGACGAAGGGAGATTCCGTTGATTATTTCAAGCACGTTGCGAGAAGATGAGGTAACATACCATGGTGGTGGTGGTGACGCACGGCAGACCGACGGGGACGCCGATGATCTGACAATGGTCAGCCTCGCCAGAGATGAGGTGAAATAAGTTAGGTGGCATACAAAGAACACAAGCGCATAGACGAGCAGGGAGTTTTCCTTCGGGCTCGCGATTCCGATTCCCCTTAGATGGATAATGTTAGCCAAAGTAACGAGGGGCGCAGAGGAAAGCGCACCTGAAAAACCCGCCGACCCAAACCACAAAAATAAACACCAGGACCAACACGAGGAGCGACGTCCCGATGCCGCCCAGCACGATTTGGAAGTGGCCGCGTTCGTTCGAGCTCATGACGAGCGACGCCGTCTGGCCAACAAAAGACTGCTTCGCCGTGGCGCTCACGACGGCGTAGCACTGCATGAAAATTGAATAATTAGCATCGCGAGTATCCGCCCATAAAAGAGGGAGAGAGCTAACCTTCCCGCGCTTAACCCCACACGTATAATACGCGACGTCGCCGATGTACTTGTCGACCGCGAGCGACTCGCCCGTGATCGCGCTCTGGTCCACGGACGCGACCGACGGGCCCTTGTCCTCCCCCTCGTCATCGTTATCGTCGTCGCCGGCTTCCTGCTTCTTGGAGGTCTGTTGGGATTTCTTGGAGGTCTCGAGCTGTTGTTTGGCCTGGAGTAGATAGATCAGCAGTGGCGTGGGGGAAAGAACAAGAACAAGCACCTTGGAACCATCTTTATCGTCGTAGCTGGCCAGGATCTGCGGGCCATTAGCGCCCGGAAAATGATAGTAAATGTAGGCGAGGAAGGTACCTTGGCGTCTGCGGGGATGGTATTGCCTTCCTCTAAAATCACCTGCGCCGCGATAAGTAGATGGGTTGGCAAGACTACATTAGTAAACTTACGATGTCGCCAGGTACGAGATCCCTTGCCTCAATCTCCCTTTCTTGCCCGCCTCGCACGACGAATGCCTTCATGGCGATCCCCGCCTTGAGCTCAGCCACGATATCGCCGGCCTGCTTCTCTTGGTACCACCCCACACCCGCGTTGAGGAAGAGGATCCCGATCTACAATATTCAAGTCAGTTACGGTACTTGGTCATTGAAAAGAGGTGCTCACGATTACGCCGAAATCGATCCAGTCTTGCAGGCCCGCGGAGAGGATGACGGCGATCTCCATGGTGTAGAGGATGGGGCCGCGGAAGTAGGAGATGAATTTGAGAAATTGGTTTTCTTTGGGGCTGCGTTGACACTAACAGTGAGCACGCGCTCGAATAATCGCGGTAGTTAAAGACGGACCTTTGCAGCTCGTTGAATCCAAACTGTTTCCGGCGCGTGTCGACATCGCCGTCCTCGAGACCTTGCGTCATGTTCGTCGTCAGCCAGTCATCTGGGATCTGGCGCGCGTGCGTGACTCAATTTTTGCGCAAACAGAAATAAGAAAAAATGCGCACCTTCTTTTCTTTGTCGCTCTTGACAGTGACCTTCTTCCACGGTGCATACCAGAGGCGTTTCTGCTGGTGCTCCCCCTCGTCGTCGTCCTCGTCGCTGCCTTTGCTCGCCAGCGCGGCTTGGTCCTTCGCATACCGCAACAAGACCTCGTACTCCTCCCCGTCATAGCTCGCTTCATCCTTCTTCTCGTCGTGCGTCGGGGACGTGGGCGTCGAGGACCCCGACTCCAAGTCGTCGGGCTTCGCGCGCCTGTTTCGGTGTTTCAGAATGGATGCCATTGGGGCAAGCAGGAGGGATGGAGAGGGAGTTGTATGTTTTTAGCCGGACTCCGCGAATCTATTATAGGTCTGGTGACGTCGAATGACGATATTGAGGGGTGACAGCCTCGGAGAAAATTGCCTGAAACCCGAGTATGCCCGGCCATATGGTTGTGGCTGAAGCCTTCTCTAGACTAAGGTGGAGACACAAATTCCGACTGACACTCTGTGGCCGGACTTTCTGAAGTGGGATCACAGGAGAGGCAGCAAAGCGGAAGGCTACAAGGCCTCATAGCGCGTCCAGCAGCGACCGCGGGACGACGAATCCGGGTGGCATATGTCACTGTCGGGGAAGAGAGTCTGAAGAGAGGGCAAGGCTGCAAGACTGAAGACTCAAGAGTGACGGCGTCCACAGGGCTATACATCAAATCACGTGATCCACATCATGAAATGCGGACCAACAATGGCAAATATGAACATCTTAAGCCGCACACCTAAAAAGGGAAACTCTCCACTCAGTTAAATGTGATATGAAATGTGATACTTTCCGAAGTACTTTCAGAAACGAAGGATTGTAATACTTTCAACATGCCGAGAATTTTCCGATTGGTCCGGGAAATGCCGAACCAATCGGAAAATTCTCGGCATGCGGAAAGTATCACAATCCTTCGTTTCTGAAAGAGATGCACATAGTTTCACTTTCCATACCACATCTAACTGAGTGGAGAGTTTCCTTTTTTAGGTGTGCCGGGAAGGCTCCGAATCGAAGATCTGAGTGCAATACCAAGAAAGTTGCCATAGAACATCTTGATGCTTCGTATACCAATTATGTATTTATTCCAACAACCTGGGGCCAGGTTGGATTCTTTAAGGCCCATATCGCCTTACGTAAAGAACCTAAACTTTTTGCACCATTCAGTCCAATGTCAGTTAACCTGTCTTTTTCCCGAGTTTTGCGTTGGATTGGGGTCCAACTTGGCTTTTTGGTGGTAACTTGGCTTTTTATGTGATCTGGACCTTATCTGGCACTTTTTCGTACGGTGCTTGTTCCAGTGGCAATGGGATACCTGAGGATACGGATGGCTTGGAACCAGGCGTATCTGGGGAATTGATACATCGCGAGGTTCAGATGGGAAGGAGGCATGCGATGTATCAGGGCCTGTCATCAGAGGAGCTCGCGATGCATCACGTTAGAGCGAATACCTTTTCAGGCAGGCATGCCGCGCGCTCGCTTGGAAATCGGGCGGCGGCGCTGTCCCGACATTTGAAGCTCGGGGCGCCCTCGGGTGGCGGTGCTCCCGCCTACTACCTTTTTCGGCACTTTTGTGCTAGGGCTCCCTAGGATGTAGAAATGTCAACGAATGTTATTACAATGCATATTGGCGCGCACAGTACTCCCCGAGGCCATAGAGCGTTCGCAAGAGCAGGGATGAGCCTTATAAATTGGGGGTAATTGGCGTGCATCATACTGTTTGTTCTTGTTAGTATCGCACTCTCCTCTTACTTGCCGTTGCTCCTACGCTTGCTGTATCTTTCTACCTCGTCGCAATCGCTCAGATATAATCCACACAAACCTACATTGCTATATCCCATCTGCGCCATCCTCTGTTGCCCCCCCTCGAGTTCCGGCTTGGATTCAATAATCTGCGCCTCCGCGCTCGCCCGGGCGCTGCGCCTGCCCCACCCATCTTGTGAGCGTCTCGCGGCGTTGTGTGCCTTCACACCCTTCTGAATATCGAACTTTAGCCTCAACTGCGCTGCCGTTCCCTCTCCACACCCGTTTTGGCCTCCGCCCAGCCGTTCGGCTTCGTGCGCCCAGGCCTCGCTCCTCCGGCTCCTTGCCAGCGCTGCGGCACGATGGAATTCATCTGCCAATGGACATGGTGTCCTGCCTTCCCCGCTGCGTGCCCCCTTTCGCTCTCTATGGCTCATTTGCGCTCCCCCGCGTACGTGCACTCGCCCGGGCGCTGCGTTTCCTCCACCCACCTTCCTGGGTGTCTTAGCGCTGTATATCCCTCACGCCCTTCCGCTCCTCAAACCTCAGCCCCAACCGCCCCGCCGTTCCCTCTCCGTGCCCGTTTTGCCCTCCCCCCGCCATTCGGCTTCGTACGCCCGGCCCCGCTCCTCCAGCTCCTTGTCAGCGCCGCGGCACGATGGGATTCGTCCGCCAATGGACATGGCGTACTGCATTCCCCGCTGCGCGCCCCCTTTCGCTCGTTATGGCTCATTTGCGCTGCCCCACTTATTTGGGCTCGCCCGGGCGCTGCATTTCCTCTCCACCCACCTTCCTGGGCGTCTCAGGGGCTGTGTATCCCTCACGCCCTTCTTCTCCTAAAACCTCCCCCGCCGTTCCCTCTCCGCGCCCGTTTTGGCCTCACCCTCTCTTACCTCCCACTGTCCTGGCTCCTTGCACCCGTATCGCTTCTACCTTTCACTTGCTACATACACCTACCCCTCCTGTACTTTCTCCGGTAGAAATAACCGTACTCCCATTGTTTCTGGGGCATAAATCGACATTTTCAATAGGTCTTAGTGAGTGAGGAGCAAAACGTGATAATATGATTCTCTCACAACCAAGGTAAGGCATGGTCGGGATAGAGTAGTTGGATATACTCGTCTATATTTATATGGTCGCTGGTTCGATCCCGGCTTCGACCAATCCGCATTTCTTGAAATTATTTTTAGCGGATCAAACTTACGAAGTCAAGTACTACTTAAGTCAAACTTCAAATTTCGTGAAGCTTTTTTTGTCCAAAAAAAGGAAACAAAAATTGAAGATACTTAAACTATAAACCTACGCCATCCCATTTTCTCGCGTGTCTCTGTACGCCTTTCGTCTCCATCAGCCTAGCTCTTCTTCGCCCTATTGGATGCCTTGTCAGCGCCCCTCAATTCCTGGCTGGAAAACCGCCGCACCTTTTTTTCGCTGGGCCTTCATTCTCCTCCTCCTCCTGCCCCTTCCGCTTCGCCTGCCCCTTCGACTTCTCCTTCGACTTCTCCTTCGACTTCTCTAGTCTCTGTAGCAATGCTTCATCTGTCTCATTCGGATTCTTCGGTGCTCGCCTCTCTCTCCCTGGACGACCGAGTTGAGGAACGGGCGGCATTGGAGCGCCGGGTAAGCGGGGTAGTACAACGAGGTCGGAGCCCCCCGCCGGATTGCGCAGAAGGTCCACCTTGGGGGCGGCATTCGCCCTCCGATCCCGTTCCCTCTCCATCAACCGGATTTCCTTCCAACGGCGAGTGTTTGTCGCTGGGTCCGGTGTGTCCAACGGCAGCGGGATAACCTCCCCATTGTCGCCGTACGTTTGAAGGAACGCCAGCGGCGCTCTTCGCCCGCTTCCACTACCGCCAACTTCCCCAGCAGCATCCACCTCTCCGCCTTCTTCATCCTCCGCCCCTCCTGCCCCCGACATATCGCCCTCGAAGCCTCGCCCTCCCGCTGCCTTCCTCCCACCTCGTCCCTTCCCCCTTCCTCCACCACCCGCTTCTGTATTAGCCCTCTCTTCGCCTTCATCACCATCCGCTCCCGGTGCTTCACCTTCCACCCTTTCCCTCCCTCCTCCTCCTCCCCTGCCGCCTCGCCCTTTCCCGCGCCCACGCCCACGCCCGCGCCCGCGCCCTTTCCCGCGCCCACGACCGACCTGTGGGCTGCGCGCTGCCTTGCCATCAGACCCCCCCACCTTCGCGATAGGATAAGGCTTCGGGGGGTTTGCCATCGGTCTTGACATCGGGTAATGAGGGCCAGCCAACGGCTCCTCTTCCTCCTCGCTACTCATCTCCTCCTCCTCCTGTGTCTTCCTGTACGCCGCCATTGCGGCCTCTAACGCCCGGGTCGAAGTCGCAATGTCCGTCACATCCCCCCTCCCAGCTGCAACGGCAGCTGATGATGTCCTCGCAATGCGCGGCGGCAGCGGCGACGCATTCGGAGGCGAAGGGCGGCGCACCACCCCCGAATCCTGCCGCGCCGTGTTTCGCCCCACTTTCTGCGCCGTTCGCGGCCTCCGTCGACGAGGTCACCATCGGGGGCTGCGTGGTAGGCCTGTTAAAAGCTGCGGCCTGACCCACGGGAGTCGCGGGACTTGTTGTCGCCGGTGGTGGATACGTTACTGTGGGTAGAGGCGGCGCTGGCAGTGTAGCAGGCAACCCTCGTTGTCCAGTAGCTAAACATGCAATCAGCTTCTACTCAAAACGAATGGAATACAGTACTCACCCGGTATTTCCCAATTCTCTGCGTGCACGCCACTCAAGTTTGGCGGGGCAAAGAACGTTGGCGACTGGGGCGCAAACAATCCCGGGGAAGTCGCCATGAGCTCTGCGAAATCGTCGAGATTCACATCTTCCCCAGCCGACCAGCTTCCCATCCCGGGCGCTCCATCGACGGAATCTACGCCTCGCCCTTCCTCTGTATTGAAGTCGTCCATCTCTGCATGGAAGGCCTCGCCTTCCATAGGATCGAAGACATCGTCCGGCAAGTCCTCCCAGAACGAGAGCTTGTACGTCGTGGCCAGGTCGTACGTCGTGTCCAGGCTGTACGTCGTGTCCATACTGGCATGCGAGAGGTCGTGCATCGTGTCCATGGTCTGGGAAAGCTCGGGGGTTTCTCCATGACCCAAGTCGGCCACGGCGAAAGAAACACGAGATACAGCGGGCAGCGCCGGCGCGGTGAGTGGACAAGAAAGGGGAGGTGGTGTTGCCTGCGCCAGGGGGAATACCGCAGAGGGAGGCACCTGCACCAGGGGGGATACCGGAGAGGGAGAGGATGTAGCCGAAGATGTGGTAGCTGCAGCCACGGATGTAGTCGCCACAGCAGGTACGTGGCATCACTGCCGCCTTGGATCTCTTGGGCGCCTTGTAATCCTTCTTCTCTGTCTGTTTCTTGGGCTTTGGCTTTGCAGGCGGCTCTTCAGCATCATCCTGGTCGTCTTCACTGTCCATCTTGACGGAGTCGACTGGGTCGGGCAGAGCCATGGCATCGCGAAGGGCTCGCGCTGTCACATATTATAAGAAATAAATTAGTCGAATTTGATTCATCGATGACACTCACGGAAACGTCGCCTCAGAAATTCCACGAATTTAGAGCTTACGCCCTCGTTCCAGTCCGGATGCGAGTCTTTGAAAGTGTTGCCATTTGGCGATCTTCCGCAAGAATAGCTGTGGACACCCGTGATCAGTCAACACCGCCCAACACGAGTTAGGCGCCACATACACCACAACTCCGAGCGCGCCTCCCGCTCGCGGCGTCGGTCCACCGAGCATCGTGAAGCCAACCCATCCAGTCTTCTCCATAATCAGGCTATGTAGTCGATCAATGATCCCTTCTAACTGGTCGATCGACCTAACAAAATAATCAGCACACTGGCAGCAATTCACGAAATGACTTACAGCTGGGCTAACTCTGGCGTCAGCTCCACCTCCGGGCTCTTACTCTCCAATTTCGCCTTCTTGACCTTGTCCAACTCTAACTGCACCTCTTTCTTCACCTTGTCTGTCTCCTCATCCAACAACTTCTGACTCACAGCCCTCCTCGCTGCCAACCTCGCTGACGCCTGCTTCTTGATCGTGGCCTTCAACGCTGGCGCTGGCTCTTCACCTTCCATACCAACCCAGTCAACATCGCCCTCGTGCTTCGCATCAAAATTGCCGGCCTTCAACGCTGCTGTGACGCGGTCGGGATACATCGTTTGGTACAGCTCGACGAGCTGGGGGTCGCGGTGGCGTTTCTTGTCTTTCCACAGCGCCGCGGCAATCGAAACCGTGTCGTTTTTTTTAACAGCCGTTGTGCCCGATTTTCGCGATGTCGCGACGTGGTTGCGGAACCAGCTCCGGAGTTGCTGGGGGAAATGCGAGGTAAGTAAGACGCCTGCTGACGCGTAACGACGCGTCAACTCACCTGTTTCCTCTTCTCGAGGGCGTGGCCCAACACCCCCGATTGCTCAGGCGTCAGAGTGGCGTCGGAGTCATCCCTAGGCAAGTTGCAACCGTCTTCCTCTGGCCAGAGTCTGAACCATTCTTCGTCCAGGCGCGTGAAGAAGCTGATCTGGTCGCCACCAGCCTTGCTCTCCACGTATTTCCCGACGCGCGCTTTGAGCCAAGCCAGTTGGTCTTTGTTAGCCCAGAATCCCGGGGCCATCGTCGTGTAAAAGCAAAATGCACGGCAGTAAGTAGGTGGTTAGATTCAAGATAGTTTCCGCCACAAGGTCAACCAGTTTTCATGCGCCAGATCTCATTTGTAAAACACAGATTCGTTGATCGAAAACAGCCGGTTTATTTATTCAGATCCTTTTTTGCATCTATCACACCAAAATATCCACCCCATCGGACCCAAGCCAGTGCTCATCGTGCAGCCAACAACCGTCGCCGTTGCTGCCGGTACCAGTTTCGGAGTCTCTGTCATAAGTTGGCAGGTGAGTAAACCGGACTGTCCTTTACTTTTGCAACATGCTCACCCGTCTCAGCGTTCCGCTAATCCAAAGTGTTTCGATGTCGAGCGTGTCGGAATCGGCCGTCAGCCAAGCGCTCGCCCACTCCTGCTCCAGTAGGATCCAGAATTTTGAAACCTGCTTCTGTGTCACAGCTTCCAAGTAACGTCCCATGCGTGTGCGCAACCAAACATCCTGCTCGGCGGTGGCCCATGATCGCGGTGCCATTTTTAGGTGGGTGTTTTTTCGTACTTACAGTAACAACTCTCAGTTTAAATGTATTTCCCCCGACACCCGATCTAGCTTGCCCAAATCGGGATTCCCAACTCGGCCTAACAAGAAGCCCTCACCGTGCCGCGTTTCATCAAGTAGGCACATGCATCATCTACCAACATGTGCACCAAACACTGGCTTATAAAGGCCAATCTCGCTTCTCCTCTTCTCCCTTACCATGACCGACAAGTCGACCCCCGCAGTTGCAAGCAACGCCTCCAACCCCGAGAAGGATTTGGAGGCGCTGCTTGCAACGGTTGCGGGCCTTGCGCAAATGTCGTTGGCCCTCACCAAGCATTGCGTCGATCTTCAAAGTACGTCTCTTATCTGATGCATCTGAGGCGCACTGAATTTTGTCATAGCGCGACTCCCCACCGTGTTCAATGCGGCAGTGAAGGCCAACGTCGCTTCTATTGTCCGTACGTCAACCATCTCCTTCATCTCCCTACCTCGCTCATCGATCCTGCCTTAGCCGCTGCACCTACTTGGGTTGAGCTTGTGCCGCGCACTCCTGATCAACTGGAGACTGCCCACCCCCCCGGATCCGGCGACGATGTTGCGTACCATGTAGTCACCATAGGGCGGGAGCCCGGTTTGTACAACAGTGTGTAAGTTTGTTTTATGCCTGACTTGTCTTGATCCCTCTGACCATCTTGCAGGGCCGATTCGGACTACCAGGTTCTCGGAGTTCCGGCTGGCAGGCGCATCAAGAAAGGGAACCGTCTGGAGGCCCTCGCCTACTATCCGCGCCAAGTACAATACGCAGGAGGTCCACAAGTGGGCACCTGAGGACGAAGTTCTTGCGACCACTGCTGCCAACGCAGCCGCGCTCGCTAGCAGCAGCCGCCGCTGATGCGTGAGTACATTGTTCTCGCCGATGAATCACACATAACCTGCCTCCGTTTTCAGTCAATTCAACCTCCTGCGTCTGCGTCTGGCGTAGTGTACTTCGTGAACGTATATACA